AAAAGCTAGGTTTTCACCTTAACATGAGGTAAACCTTTATTACAACCTCTGCATTGTAACAAGATAAAAAAATGCGTCGGGTGTATGGGGTCTCTTGTTGGGCGGTGTTTTGGGAAGGCAAAGAAGCGTGCGGGGGAAGCCAAAAGATGGGATTAAACAATTCACAAAATAGGAAACAAGAACTGACATAGCTCGAGCTAATATTTCAACTAAATGCATGCAAAACAAACATGGGGATTGATGCAAACGGGAAAATTAAGAATGATGGTTGAATGCATGGAGTAATCAAATTATGTTGCAATTGGATAAATATTAAAGAGTGCATATATGGATATTATGTTAGCTATAGAGAGCTAACAAATGTGAGAGAGAAGCAATTGGGATTACCTAAGGACCCCAAAATTTATCCACTAGCTTCTTATGATTCTTTAGAATGTACCTTAAAAGTATCAGGGCATGTTTGTTTCGACTTTTATCTGGCATCTACCAACCAGAAGCTAAAACAAACAGCCCAGTTGTTGAGTTGGCTTTTGAAAAGCTAAAAAGTTAGCTTCTGAGGAAATAAACTAAAACCTGAAAAGCACGTTGAGAGCATCTTTTCTAGCTCTTGGTGTGCTGAGAAACTAAAAGTTTGTTATAAAATCCAATAGCAAAGAACCAACTGCTAGAAGCCAAAAGCTAGTTTTTTAGCCAAAGGATCAAAGCTATAACTCAAACATACAGACCCTTAGACCATTCTTGAGCATGAGTTGATAGGCTAGTACTACCAAATTGGTGTTTTATCATAGTGGAAATGCAAGATTTCCTTTCAACATATTGTAAATGTTCTTGCTCTTGCATATTTTGTATACACTTATATTTTATACGTAAATGAGTGTGAGAACCCTAGAGCATATCTCTATGGAGTCTTGCCAAAAATCTATTGGAAGTTTTATTTGTCAATGTACTTATGGAACCTACGGAGATCCTCATGCAAAATGAGAGTTCATTAGAACCAAAAAAATCCTCCAGAGGTACCATTCCGCTATATGCCCTTGTTATCTTTTTAAAATTTTGTTTCATTATAATAATTCATGTACTTAAGTGTAGATTGGTTGTAATCATTCACAAACTAAATATTTGTCCCTTAATTTGTCCTAACTCTAAGGTCATAAATTTGATGGGGTGTTTCTTTTCAGGTTTAAGCATTGGGTTAGGAGTGGGTGGTAGTACAACACTTTTGCTTCTAGCACTTGGTGGACCCCTCATAGTACGTAAAATCAAACTACAGAGGATGAAGAAGATGAAACAAAAAATTTTCAACAAAAATCATGGGTTATTGTTGAAGCAATTAGTATCAAGCAACACGGACATTGGTGAAAGAATGATAATTTCCCTAAGGGATCTAGAGAAGGCCACAGACAATTTTGATAGCTCTCGTGTGGTTGGTGGTGGAGGGCATGGAGTTGTGTTTAAAGGAATTCTAGATTTGCATGTTGTGGCAATCAAGAAATCAAAGATAGTAGTGCAAAGAGAAATCAAGGAATTCATAAATGAAGTTGTAATTCTTTCTCAAGTAAACCACAGGAATGTGGTGAAGCTCTTAGGATGTTGCCTTGAGACAGAAGTCCCGCTACTAGTTTATGAGTTCATTTCAAATGGGACCCTTTATAATCATCTTCATGTTGAAGGACCAATTTCATTATTGTGGGATGATAGAATAAGGATTGCACTTGAAGTTACTAGAGCTTTGTCCTATCTACATTCAGCTGCTTCTATGTCAATATTTCATAGAGATATTAAGTCATCCAATATACTTCTTGATGATAGTTTAACGGCAAAAGTATCAGACTTTGGAGCTTCAAGATCCATCCCAGTTGATCAAACAGGAGTAATAACTAATGTTCAAGGAACACTGGGATACTTAGATCCTATGTATCATTACACAGGCCGACTAACGGACAAGAGCGATGTCTTTAGCTTTGGTGTTCTTCTTATAGAATTGCTTACTAGAAAGCAACCCTTCATCTATATATCCAATGATGGAGACAATCTTGTTCCACATTTTGAGAAGATGCTCACAACAAGCAACCTAGCCAGTATAGTAGATCCTCAAGTTATGGAGGAGGAAGATGGAGACCTCCAAGAGGTAGCTACACTTGCAGTGATGTGTACTAAATTAAGGGGAGAAGATCGGCCTACAATGAGGGAAGTGGAGATGAGACTTGAAAGCTTGTTATTGAAGAAAAAGCTTATCCCATGTATTACAACAGCAAGGAGAAATAATGAGGATGAGACACAGGTTCAGTACATGTCAATTGAACCGGTAACTAATGGCACAAGCAGACAATACACTATGGAACAGGAAATACTATTATCGGCAAGTTACCCTCGATGAACTTGTGTAGTCATGACTCATGAACAATAATTAACTTCCCTGGGTGTGTCTTGAAAATTATTAGATAAAATCTTTGAGCAAATGCATTTCTTGTAATGTAGATGCATGGTTCCTTACATGAACACTAAAGATAGTAGTAGTGTGCTTACCTTTTTGTTAATTGAACGTTGAATGTTCTTGTGTGCTGTAAGCTTGTAAGATCCTAGAATGTTCTTTTGTGCTGAAAAAAAAAAGCCAAAGATCCTAGTATGTAAAAAAAAGAGTAAAAAAGGACCACTGTATTATAAGAAAAGCGAGAATGCAGCTAAAGCAGAGTAATGGACCACTGTATTAGTGGGAGAATGCAGCTAAAGTGTTATCCCTAGGCCTATTTATGCTTGCAATGGTGTGAGGCAGATCGAGAGCTGCGAAGACATTTTGGACACTGAAATGTGGACAGCTAAGAAGTAAGAACACAGTCTGCAATCAGTCAATGAGATACAGCTCGCCATGACGACCACCGGTCCATGCTCCTCTCATAGGGTAGCAAATAAGCTGAAGGTAGCAGTGAGTGTTTACTGTTTAGCACCTGACATCTGTATACACCCCCTTTCAACTCATCTGGTTGTTTTCCAGCATTCCTACCTTCTCTTGGACATGCTAAAGCTAAAGCTGAAACAAACCGTACGATCCCACTGCTTTCGAGCACGAATTTGCGCATGACATTTGCAAGGTGATTTTCAGGATTATTGGACATTGCTTAGATTGCAAGTCCTGCCAGAATTTCATGAGTCCGCCAGCAAACAAGAGAGGGGCCACTTCCAGCCAGCCAGCTCCATGGCGCTGCCGCTGAAGTCAGGACCAATCAATGAAACGGAGCAATCATGCATGGATCTGTGTGTGAGACGCAGCTGGCAACTTTCTCTTGATTCCATAAAGCTCATCTCTCTCCACGGAAACGTCGCCGTCATCCCACAGGGATGAGCACGAATTTGCGCGTGACATGGAAGAAAGATTTTCAGGATTATTGGACATTGCGTGCGATTGCAAGTCCTGCGTCAATTTCAGTGAGTCCTAAGGCCTGGTTTATTAGTTCCCCACTTTTTCAGCCAAATTAGCTCCATGGCGCTGCCGCTGAAGTCAGGACCAATCAATGAAAAAAAGCAATTACATGCATGGATTCAAAATCGTGAGACAAATATTTTAAAACTAATTGCAATGATTCCCATAAGTCCTCTCTCTAACGGAACGTCGCCGTCATTACAGGGATGAGCACTAAATTCGTTCTAGCGTCATGGAAGAAATGTATTAGTTTTTGGCCGGTTCGCCGGCTGCGTCCGCAAAACATCCGATGTGCGTCAAAAATTTCATTTCAGTGCTAAAATTCCATGTTTGAATGGATTCAGATTAAGGACCGATTGGTTTACGATAAAAATTTGACATGTCAAAGATTTAGCAAACCAAAATTAGATAAAAAAATCTTGCCATAGATTTGACAGGTCAAATGTGAGAAATTGACAAATTTAATAGAAAACCAAACAATAGCTAAAATCATGGTTCGCCAAATTTTGAGCAGGCAAATTTTGATAACCAACCAATCAGGCCCTAAGAACCACAATCAGGCCCTAAGAACCAAGATCCCTTCGGATCTCCCAAGACCCAAGATCCCTTCGGATCTGTTGAGGTATTGAGCCCTTCTAGTTCTACCGTCTTTGCTGATGTCACTATCTGGTTTCTGCATCGAAAGTTACTCAAATACAACGATGCCATTGCCGTGTTCATTCAGATATGTCAGATTGCATACATAAACACCGGGTCATACACCATCAACATCGAACCATCTGAAATCAACAATTATGGCCCCTTCCGAGCACAGACCGCAAGAATTGTAGAGGGATTTCACATAAATCAGTTTATTTTCACAGAAAAACTCCTTTCCAGGCCCTTGTGCTGAATGCTCCGAATAGCAGCTTGTAATGCCCCAGATTACAAGAGAGAAGAATCGTATCAGAGAAAAACATGAAAAATCTTGTGTTTTATGAATCTCTTCAGAAAGATTGTAGCACAATAGTCATAACAGAAACTTCTCAGAATGCACTAAATAAACATCAAGGAAATACAAAAGGGGGGCCAATAAAGTTTGACCGCGTATCCTTAAGATTTGACTGCAGCAGCAATCATATATGGTCAAATAAAGAAAAAAAATCTCTGAAAGCAAATCTTATAAATAACCAAGGTCTTAGTTTCACCGGATGCATGTATAGTATGCACATTGACAGGTCGCGGGCTAACGAACTTCAGCAGTCTTTCTAGATCTCTTTACTCAGCTGCCCTCGGTCATAGGAAAAGGCCGAGAGACTACACAACTTCTAGATTCTTTAGCTGAAGCAAGACACTTCCGGGGGTTATTCAAAGTTGAGCTGGTGTGGTGGAGAGAAGAGTGAGCAAGTTCGATGAAACCTGGTCGTCTTGGTTCTTCCTGTGAAAGCTGTAGCATCGTCCAAGGGAAAGCTCTGGCATCACAATCACATCTTGTTGACCCATACTCACAATGGTAGCAATCGAAGATGATGCACCCATTAGTTCTCCTCAGAAATGAAGGGTTGAAAAAACAGCAGTTTAAAACCATCAATCTCACAATAAATCACGACGCGGTGTCTATCCGGTCGTGCTTTCTTTTGTTAGGCCGGGAGAAGAAGCAGAACTGAGCCCAAGTCTTCTTTGTCTTCGTTGGTTGTGACCTTGTGGCTTTCTTGGCAACATATTCAGTCATGTATTGAACAGCAGCCTACAAAAGAAGAGAAAGGAAAAAAAACAATAATGAACAAACCTTGCCACAAATGGTCACAAATATATATAGTAGTTCAAGAAAAGCAAGTAAGGAAAATCACCTGAGCTCCCTTTAAAGCTACATCTCTTGGTGGCACTTGCAGAGGGTTCTCTTCTGCACGGAGCACACGGAGATGCTGCAGGTTTCCGAAAGAATCAGGAAGCACCCTAATCTGGTTATTGCTTATATCCAACTCTTCCAGCATCTCAAGGTTGCCAATAGAACGAGGGAGGGATTGCAGGTCAGCGAAATTGTTCCCGACGTTCAGTTTAATAAGAGAAGTAACGAAGCAGAAGTTCTCAGGAATAGACTCGAGCTCATTAAAACTTGCATCAACCTCCTTCAGCTTTGTGAGAGATGCCATTGTTGTTGGAAGCCCCCTAATACTGTTGTATCGCACAGAGAGGACCTCCAGAGACTCTAGCTTTCCGACAGCCTCTGGGAGGGCCTTGAGGTGATTGTAGCCTGCCCGCAATTCCACCAGTGATACACAATTGCCTATAGTGTACGGCAACTCATCAAGGTTGTTTGTCTCGACAATCAACTTCTTCAGACGCGTAAGGCTTCCAATTGAGTCAGGGAGTGAGGTAAGATGGTTTGCACTCACATCAAGCTCCTCAAGCTTCACCAGCCTACCAAGACTGGCTGGCAATGATGCAAACTGATTACCCCTCAGGTCGAGATATATCAGGTTGGAAAGATCCCCAATCGACTCAGGAAGCTGAGCAATTCTATTAGAATGAACGTCAAGCTTGGCCAAAGATGAAAGCCTCCCAATTACTTCTGGCAAGGCCAAGATCCGGTTCTCCGAAATATCAAGGGTGACAAGTCCAGTGAGTTTTCCAATTGAATCAGGAAGCCACTCGATTTGGGTCATGAGTTTTCCTTGCAGGTTGAGATCACGAGCGCCTTTCTTTGCAGCCACTTCAATCATGCTAGCTAGCTTAATGAGGGTCAATTTCTCGTTGTCATCTCCTGCAAAGGCCAAATCATGAAGGAAAGAATCAATAAATACGTACATACTTGTACATACTTCCAACGGCCAACCAATTATCACAAATCATGGACTAGTTGGTAGCTAAGGAAATTCCATTTTGTCTCCCATACAACAGAACAATGCATATGCTTCCAATTTTAACTCACTAAAGCTCTAAATGCTAACAATTTACATGAAGGTGTATCTAAGCACTCCACTGAAATCAGTAAATCACAAATTTGGTAACAATTCCCTCAAAAAAACAAATTTGGTAACAAAGCAGTTCAAGGTAGAATTGGCTCACCATAACCGCCTTCCACACGAGTCGCCACTGAGTTTGCAGCAACTGCTCCTCGCGGCATATGAGAGCTCGCTGCCACAACCCCGTCGTCCCATACTGCGGCCTTGGCCTTCTTGACGTAGCTGTCGTCCATCGAGACGCGCCCAACGCCGGTCACCATCCTCGGTGCACTGAACCCATTAGCGCCCATGGACGAGTAGCGGTCAGCGCTGCTGTCCGCAGCCACCGCTGATGACGACGCGGCGGAGGAGGAAGACGAAGCGGCAGCGGTGGTCACAGCGGCCTTGGAAGCAGTGACGCGCGGCGCGGCGCGGGTGGAGCTGGAGCTGGACGGCACGCACTGCGACGCGCGCTGGATGAGGTCGTCGAAGAGACCGTGGAGCGCGTCGAGCTCGAGGAGCCTTGTGGCGTCGCGCTTCTGCTCCCGGCAGTGGAAGGCGGCGAGCGCGCGGTGCATCTCGAGGGCGACGCCGAAGAGCTCGTCGGGGACGGCGGGCGGCCTGCGCAGGCGCGCGACGGCGTCGAGGCGCGCCCGCTCCTCCCGGTCGGCGGCGTGCGCCAGCGCCTCGGCGGCCTCCACCTCCTCCAGCGCCGGGCGCGCCGGCAGGGAGCGGTGCAGCCGCATGATCTCCCCGACCACGCCGTCCACCGACCCAAAGGCCGCGGCATCCAGCGCGGTCCCCATTCCTCGACCGACCCCACTCGCAGCAGCTCAGGAACGGAACAGCCCAGATCTCCACTCCGCTCCTCTCCTGTCCCTCGGTCGGTCCCTTCCCACGGTACGGCACGCAACGGGATCCCCGCCCTCCTCCTCCTTATGTAAGCCTCGGCGCGCGGCCCTCGCCGCTGCGCTTTCCCGCGCCCATCGTCGCCATCGCCAACCGCTCGTCACGTGGCGCTCGTGGGCGTGGCCCGCCCCCCCACCACTCTCCCTCCCGCCTCGGATGCCGTCCCCCGTTTCCGGATAAGAACCGGAACCACCAGAGCCCAGGTGTGCGACGCCGGATCACAGCTCGGCGCCCCCGCTCGAGCGGAAAAAAAAAACAGCTTTTTCCGCGGCGGCGGTGACCCGATCCAATCCAACAGCGCGAGTGGACGTGGACGGCTCGCAAGGGAAACGAAAATCCGGAACGAGAAACTCACACTCGCCGGCCCGGGCTGCGCGCGAGAGAGAGGGGAAGAAGAGGCACCGAATTGCCGGTCCGGTGGGAGGTGGTGGGATTGGGGAATTAGGGGGCTCGTTCACGGCTCACCGGGGTAGGTAGGTCTGCGCAATGCGCAGGGGACGGACGGAGCGCGCAGGCGGGGCGGTGGGCGGTGGTCGCCGTGGGTGGTTCTTGGTGCGTGCCTGCCCCTGGTTTCTGGGGGCGTTTCTCGGGATGGGGGAATGGGAAATGAATTGGTACAGCTCGGGTTGGCAGCCAGGAAAGAGCGGGCTCGGCGCTTGGGGTCACGTAGAAATGGAGCCGGAAGCCCTGCTCGGGCATGGGAGATACCGAGAGAGTGTGAGGGTGCGGTGCTGTCCTTGTCCTGTGACGTCAGGATCGGATCGGCTACCGCCTTGGGAGGGACGGGATGCCGGCCGGGCCCCGGGGTGGATCTTGTTTTCTTCGCAAGGAAGAAGAATGGTGGATGAAAAATCGTTGGCAACTTTGTGTAGATTTGGTGGCAATTGGCGTTGTTGCTTCTATTTTAGTACATTAATCGCCCGCTCGCACGTGTTTAACGGTGTCCGAGTAACAAGATACCACCACCTTGATCATGATGCAGGTTCTTCCTCCACTGTCAAGGTAAACTGGAGCGAGTGATTAGTTAATTAATTAATGGATGAAAATCGTTGGCAACACCACCTCCATCCCGTGTCCGGTAAGAATCTGGCGTTGTTGCCTCTATTTTAGTACATTAATCGCCCGCTCGCAATCGTGTTTAACGGTGTCCGAGTAACAAGAAACCACCACCTTCGATCGAAAATTCACGATGATGCAGGTTCTTCCTCCACTGTCAAACGGTAAACTGGAACAGGCGAGTGAATAGCTTCAATTGCTCAATGGGTCGGAGTTCATCCGTCGATGATTCTGCTGCTGCCATTACCCATGATCCAGCACCACCAGTGGTAAAACTCCGGGCTTGTGCCCTGACAAAACAGCTGAACGAAGCTGATGAGCTCAGCGGTCAGAGTTCATCCGTCGATGATAAAATGTTGCCATAACCCATTGATCCAGCACCAAAAGTGGTATAAATTTTAGCGCTCGTGCCCTGACAAAGGCGAACGAATGATGAGCAAGCAGTCAGTCAGTCAGTCCCCAGCCAGCACTGCATCGGGCGGGGCGGCGGGGCCACGTGCGGGCGGAAACCTCCTCGAACCGCTGCACGCAGCAACGACGGCTGGGGCTGGGTCCGGTGGGTCGGGTGGGGGTTCTCGGTTCGCGATCGCGATCGCGCGGTGCCTGCCGTGCCGGTGCGGTGCGTCCTCCCGGCCTGGTGCCCCCTGTAGTGCCTGTAACCTGTGGGGGACGGGGAGTTTGCCTCGCCGGAGGCGGCAGAAGCGCATGGCCGCATGGGCCAGGAAGCCAGCCACCGCCCCCACCACCACCACTCCACCGCGCCAGCACGTCGGCGAGGGGGGACACGCGCACCCTGCTCGCCGAACTTGCAGCTGTCTTATCTTCCCCGTCCGTCCTATCCTACTCGTGCCGTGGCCCTGGCTGGATCGCCACGGCGGCAGCTGATGCGTTTATGGCCCTTTTTTTTCTTTTCTTTTCCGATCTCGGCTACAAACAGTTGCTGCACACGCAATGACGCAAGTGCGTTGCGTTCGCTGGCCTGGGATCATGCATGCAAACCACTTGGCAGTTGCCACGCCACTCCACCAAAAGACGAGGCCTGTGCCACTGGCGCGTGGGACCGCCGATGCGCCCGGCCCACATGGCAGCCAGACGACCATGGTGCAGTGCAAGATGAAGTATAGTTTGTGTGGGTGTGTCGCACTGTCACTCCGTGGCGTGCAGGTCGCAGCACATGGCTGCTGCATCCGCTGCAGAAGTTTCAGAGGACGCAGGCAGGGAGATCCGTTCGTGCAGAGCACCAGCCCTCTACGGAGTACTCCTATGGTGCTGACGCAGACGCAGTCTCCGTTCTCACTCGGTCACTCACACGAGTTGACATGCAGGAGGCCAGCCAGAGCCATCGCTTCGATTCGCTTAGGCTCCGTTTAGATTAAAAAAATTGCAGACATCGTATGTTAGTCTCCATTCTCACTAAAATGTAGTCACTCACACGAGTTGACAAATCGCGAAAGGAACCGCCAGCCAGAGCCAGCCGCATGGATCTGCAGACACGTAAGTAAACCAAAAAAATTTAGCATCTAAACGCGGTTAATCACTTTGCAAAACAGTGGTGACGTGTCCGGATGCTCTTGCATGATTGGCCGGTTGCATTGCATCGCATGTCCGTTTTTTTTCTTTAAATTGTCAGGCTGTTGTTGAACAGTAAGAGTACTATTTACTACTGCTGCTGGTTTCTGTGGTGGAGGTGAAGCGAACGGATTGGTAGGGCAGCCATGCGGTTGAGGTGAGCACATCACACGCTTCGACAAAACACCTCTGGCTTTTCAGGTAACGGTCCTTGTCAGGATAGGATAGGAAGAGCTCTAAAACCTGGGCCTCGTTTAGTTCCGCCGAATTGACGCCGGCAGATAACAACGTATTTAATCTTTCTGTCCATCGCAGCGACCCATTCTGGAATTCGGAGGGAACTAAACGCGGCCCTGGCCCCCCGTCGTCATTCAACAACGTCGCCATCGCAACGTCCCAGTCCCATACGGGGAAACCTACAGTCCACCGTACCAAAAGACGACAAGAGTTTAAGTCCTCTTTGACAAGGTTTTAAATAGTGTCAGTTCAGTGAAGCCGAAATCGTATCAAAGAGGATCTTGTTATGCTTTCACACCCAATCTGGAAGAAGAAACGAACTCCCCTTTCGAACAACGGATCAAGCATGTTCCAGGGGTAACACACACAGACCGCAGGATTTTACCTTCCAGATGAACACAAAGCTGGCCGTCAATTTAATTGTATCAGAAACAGAGGTTATCAGTTCTGAAGTTCATGCTACGATCAGTGACCCCAGGACAGCTGAATCATACTCAGGTTGTGCGTTGGTTCAAATGACCCTATCAATGAGGATGCACGATGCAGTGAGTACCAAACCAACTCGTACAGCTGCAGTCTGTATCAGATCGACAGATGCTCCAAAAACTAGCCTTCAGACTGATCTCAGTGTACCACTACCCCTGACTAATTCATCAGTGTCGTCCTGTCCTAGCTCACATCTCACTTCTTTGCCTTTGAGAACCGGAGGCACCTGTACTTCTCGCCGCTGACAGTGATCTCCAGGGCTCCGTCCTGGTTATCCTGATTCGAAGCCGTCCCCATGAGGACGCTCTTCTCTTTCTCCAGGTTCTCCCTCTCGATCTTCAGCCTCACCTCTTGTCTCGCAGTCTCAGCCTGCCAAAAAACGAAAACAAAAGCGTGCCATGTCAAATTGCGGGTCCCAAAGGTTGTGTCAATGATGAAGAGGTACAAGGAAAAGGACCAAAAGAAAAAAGAGTCGGGCGTGGGAGTTCAGAAGATCCTCTGGTTCACCTATGACTATGAGACGTGGTATTGAAAATGTTTACAGTATATCACAACCCACTACTTGGATCGATTGTCTTTATTTCTTAGTCTTCACTTTACCTAAAAGATGAATTTAGGTAAGGATGTTGTTGTGTCGGAGAAGTGGGCAGTTTAATTAAAGACTAGGATAAATATCACCATAGCCTAAGTGAACACCTCACTGTCAATCATGGTATTTTCATCATGAGTGTAGTTATCTGTTCTTTTGCATGATACGATTAACTCAGTGTCATCATGAGTGTAGTAGATCAGGTTTATCTTCCAAACGTAAATCTGATCTATTGATGATTATGACATCCATCTTGCTCATTTGATTGCTGCTTATCCAATCTATAGCCTAATATAATTTATTGACCACAAATTGACAGCATATGCTGCTTGCAATCAGAAAGGTGTCTTGTTTTGGTGTCTCCTTTGACCCCAGTTGAAGCACCGTGCTCTGAATTTGTTGTGTAATGTCTGTAACTCTCCTTTTTTTTATTTTCTTCGTGACTTCGTCTAATAAAACTCTTGCCGTCCTTTCAAAAAAAAAATCAGAAAGGTATCTCCAGTGATGCTGGACGTCAACCTAAAAGGTATATTCAATTATATAGCCTGAGCTGATGAAAGCTGAGAGCTAATATAAGTCCTTCAATGCTAAGGTCTCCAAGCTACCAGCACACACTACACAGCAACAATATCCTTATAAGCTGGAAACAGAGCATCGAATCAGTATGGGTGGTGGGACTCTCTACACAAAGCAACATTGGTGTATCCCTACCTAGCAGGGCCCAAACACTCATCTCTATATACTTTCTCACCCCATCCACCAACCTGGTCTATCCAAGAATGGAAGAAACTCTTCCTAGCCCACTCCTACTGTTATCCATGTGGGAGTGGTTTCCTCTATTGCACAATACAGGGTCACTTTCCAGACTTGTGTTGTTTCATTCACATTAATGGGTGAGCAGCTCAACTGTTAGGACAACCTACAGCCCTGTTTCCAGCATTGATGTAGACCCTTGGGGGGAAATATGCCGCTCTTATCACTCCTCTGTGGCCTCACTAATCACTTTTGATAGGCATCATCGACCATCAGATAATTAAGGCTGACTTCCATCTACGCTCAAAGGTTGAGTCTTGCAGTCAAATTTGCTTCTTACCTCAATGGAATTCTAGGAAGTTATGGAAGAAGTTACATATTCATATTGTTCATGTGTTGAGAAATGAGAACCGGATTTCAACTCTAGTACGTCAAATTTTCCCTTGTTTGGTGCATCTTTTTCTTTAACAGAATATCTCTATTATGTTACCTTGACCTGTGCTGATAATTGGTGTCTTATATAACGTAAATCAACAGTGTTAATGTACTCCCAATTCATTGATTTTCCTTAGAAGAATTTCTTCGGCGACAGCTCACCTATCACCTTTCTATGACTGACTAGCCCACTATATCACGGTACAACAATTACATTGTCAGATAATACAAAGCAGACGCCAGCTTAAGTTTCCATCTTAACATATATGTTGTACAGAGTCAAAATGGATAATCAAATTTTGAAATATAAGCCAATGCATATTTAATGTAACAATTTATTTTCTAATCTGTGTAGTATGGGTTAGCACTACTCAAGAGAATCAGTGCATGTGCTTTGCAGGCAACTCTTATATTCTTATCTTCACCCGATCTATCACCTTTCTATGGTTTCTATACTCTCTACGGAACTGAAACACACCAGCTTTATTCCCCTTGCTGCCTTCGGTGACAACTAGAGTGAAAGGCAAGGAATAATCTCTTACAATGTACTTGTTCAGCATCACAAGAAACTGAAGGGCATTGAAATCAACTCATGAAAGAAACTCTGTTCAGTGCAGATGCAGGTTCAGTGTCATCTCAATCATATTTCCAGCGAGAATTGAAAATGCACCAGCGATCAGATCAACCATACGATTCATATATCACAAGAAGCAAATCGAAGCGGTTCCGTGATCACGGAACAGCTGACAGTAAAAGATGCTGGCCAAGACGAGATGCGGGATGGATGGAACAGAGAATTGAGCAGGAGGCGAGGGGGGTCGGGGACACGGTACCTCACGGCGGGAGAGCTCGGCCTTCCACGCGGCTTCCCGCTCGGTGACCTCGCGCTCGCGCTCCGCGATGTAGCTCTGCATCTCCCGCTCCTTCATGATGCGGTCCTGGATGTCCGCGTCCAGTGCCTCCTTGAGCTCCATCACGAACTTGTCCACCACCGCCTTTATCCGCACAGACATCTCGCCGCGCCTCACGGACACCGCTCCCACCAGCAACGGCACCTCTCCTCCCTTGCACTCTTGCTCTCGGTGCGGTGTCACCGGCAGGCGGCAGCTTCCACGGGCGGTGGATGCCGCCGGAAACCTTGGCGTCGTTTGTTTCGGGGCGTTTGCGCCTGTCGCGATGCAGCGTAGATGGGGTGGACCAGGGAGAAGAGGTGGCCCAGTGGGCCTTCATGGGCCATGAATTCCGTTTGCTCCCTTTACTTACCTTTTTCTACTTTTTTTAATTAACTAATCTTCTTTTTTCTTTACTCTTTTTGACTAGAAGACAGCATTCTTTTCTAGCTCTTCTTTCAATAAACAGCATCTAGATAATTCTGGCCACTAGTGAACAGAGAGAACATTTCTGCAGACACTTCCATAATAAGGATCAAAGAATGCTTGCATTGATGTGGTAGTCTTGTCAGCAATAACCACAACCTCATCAAGTGAGATCAATCTGGAACAGAACAACATACAGTACCTGGCTACCAGTAGTCGCCACAGGAGCAAGCTCCATCCTGGAAATGGTGGAATCGAATAGGGTCCCTGATGATGATCGTCCTGCCTTCGCTCTTGGAGACAAGCTTCGCGAATGCGTGGCAGTCACCACAGATCCTTAGGTTCTTCATGATTCTGATAGGCTTCCCATCCACCGCATGCATCGTTCCAAATGCTATCGCCATCTTCTCACTGTGATACTTCAGCAGATCTTCTTTCTGCTCGATTGCGAGGTCCTGCAGCACAAATTCTGTATGGGGAATGTAACCAAGAGATTTGATCCTTCCGATCAACCGGTCCAGCTCCTGAACTATGGTGTCAGAGCATGGGTGTGATAACTCCCCAGCAATGAAAACATGGACATGTTTTTCCAGCTCGACCCAGCTTCGCCCTGGTTCTTTCTTCATACCTCGGTCCCTCATCGCCTTCCATGACTTCTCAGCATCTGTCCACTGCCGCAGATCCGCATATGTGTTTGACAACAATACACAAGCACCTTGGTCGTCAGGCTCCAGTTTAAGTATTTCTCTGGCTGCGTATGCTGCGAGATTGGCATTTTTATGCATCCTGCAAGCGCCCAGGAGAGTTCTCCAAATGACTGAATCTGGCTCAAGGCTCATATCACGGATGAATTCCACAGCCTCATCGAGCTTCCCGGCTCGACCAAGGAGATCAACCATGCAGTTGTGGTGTTCTCTCTCAGGTTGAATGCCAAAGAGCTTCTTCATGGACCTAAAGTAGTACCAGCCATCTTCCACTAGACCAGCATGGCTGCAGGCAAAGAGTACTCCAACCATGGTTATGCGGTTTGGTGCCACTCCTTCAGATTTCATCAAGTCAAAAACCCTCAATGCATCAGCACTTTTCCCGTTCTGCGCCAAACCAGATATCATGGTGCTCCATGAGATTACATCCCTCTGTGGCATTCTGTGGAACAAGGCATCAGCATCCTCCAAGCTCCCGCACTTGCAGTACATGTCTACAAGCGCATTGTGCAGGATCAAGTCCTTATCATACTTGAGCACATGAGCATGCACCTGCCTCCCCACTTCAAGCATGACCATCCCGGTGCACGCTCGCAGGAGGCTCGTCAAGGTACCCTGGTTAGCTGAGAACCCCGCGTCCTTCATCCTCATAAACAGCTCTATCGCCCCAACTCCATCTCCACTCTGTGTGAAACCCGCAATGATTGAATTCCAAACGACCAAATCTCCAGTCACCATATCGTCAAACACACGCCGCCCACCGTCCAAATCCCCAAGCTTCATGTACGCGTCAATCAATGAGCTCCGCACGAACACATCAGAGTCCAGCCCTACCTTGACAGTGCACGCGTGCATGGCCGCGAGCACCCCCGGCGTGGCACACGCGCCGAGGACACTCGAGAACGTGTACGCGTTGGGCGCCACCCCGTCCCTCCGCATGGCCACCAGGAATCTGAGCGCCTCCGCCTTCCTCCCGTCTGCGCTTGCCAGCGCCGCGACGACGGTCGTCCAGGTGACAACGTTCCTCTCCGGCATTCCGTCGAACAGCCTGAGCGCGTCGTCGAGCAGGCCGAACTTGGCATACATCGAGACGAGCGAGTTGGAGACGAAGAGGCCGCCGCCGCTGTAGTGAGACAGCGATCCATGGGCCTCGACGTGGCGGTGGATGAGCCGGCCGTCGCTTGCCGTGCCGTGGCGCACGCAGAGCTTGACGAGGCGAGTGAGGGAGACGGGGTCCGCGCGGAGCCCCGCCGCGGCGAGGTCAGGGAGCAGCGCGAGCGCGGCGGGGAACGACCCCTCGACGCAGAGGCGGGAGAAGATGGCGAGGGAAGGGTGCGGGCGCGGTTGTGTGTGGACGCGGCGGCTGCTCCGCCGAGTGGCGGCAAGGCGGTTGCGAGGGAGGCGTTTGAACAAGGAGGTCATCGATATCCAGATGTAGGCCGAACTGCAGATTGCAGGACTCGCGAGGCCCGGCTCCCTGAAGGACTGAATGTCTGAACCGTAGGGATTCTGCAGGAAATAGAATTTTTCTTGTTTATAAATAGCCACGAGTTGTGGCAATAAGTCAATCTCAAGCAGACGAATTTCTACAGAATTTGTGTTTCGTTGTTCCAAATAGCCTGTGAAACACGGTTGGATAACTCAATCTCATCTCAAGTAGATAACAGACGAATTTCTGGGCTGTAACGACCTCACGGGCAATTTTCGTGAAATTCATTTCAGTTGAGTTTAAAGGTTTTCACTTTGCACATCAGCTCGTGCATTTGGGGGATTTGTGCATAGTCAACTGTTATGCTATCATATGAAATGAAACAAAGGCACAAAGCACTAAAGCAACGTAGCAACGTGCAGTGCGTTACTGAATATTGATACAGCGAATATAAGTTTGATACACAATCAATACTGAAGCATCAAGTACCAACAGGGTGAGCCCTGAATTGCGCAGACGAACTGCATATGCCATTTCAATTATTCAGTGCATAATCCATCTTGAGAATATACAAAGATGATGTTTGCAGTTCTATCATTTCGACGCCGTAGCAGAAGCATGAGCAGCTAGCAGCATATGCCGAAACATGATTTCAGTGCTCCATTTGGTCCGCGACAAGGCGAGATAAGGTCAAGGTTTTCCTCATAGCTCTGCCCTGGATTCATCATCTTTACCGCCATCTTTATGAGTGGCCAGTGTCCTGATAATGGACTCATATATCCCGATTCCTTTGAGGTACTCATCTTTGCTCAGAAACTACATGATACAAAAATGTTGATTCAACAAACATGCTAGATATAGCAAATACAAAGAATACACCTTAATGGCATCAGATGGTCAAATCAAAACTAATAACACAAACCTCATTATGGTCATGGAGCAATATCGGGGTGTTCGCCATAGGTGAAAAACCAAATGCTGGTAATCCAATTTGCCGGAAGTAGCGAGCATCAGTAGAGGCTGGGAATATCTCCGGCTTGCCAAGTTTGCCACCAGCACTCTTCACAGCTTCTTCAAGCAACAACCACCATGGGTTTGTGCTGTCTGTGGGTGTCATGGCTGGCTTCCCAAAGTTGTCCAGGACAGACATCTTCTGTTTAAACTGCAGAACAGATAACCAGAAGATATATGATTGAAAACTTTATGAAATTCACACGACCAAGGTCATGCGTATGGATAATAAAGTATTGTAGTTACTTACAGAAAGTAGAACTGAACGTTTGTGTTGGACATCAAAAAATCAAAATGCAATGCATTCTTATCTTTGTTAACGTTTAACGGGAACAAAACAACTACTAATTTCAAACTAAGACTCAAAAATTTGTGTGCTACTATCATCAATAAACTAAGATAGTCAAAACAATAACACCTCTAACAGAAGCAAAAAAACCAAAAAAACGAAAATTGAATATCTCATATAATGAAATAAAGATTTCTGAAAAAAAGAGCCCCATTGAGAAATACAAATCCATTAGCGTGGCAGAAATATTGGAAAAAACAGAAGCATGTTATCTAAATGAACTAACTTTATCAGCAAAAATACCAAATAAATCTTGAAAGCCATAATGACAGAACTGCAACAATATTTTTCAAATATTCTTAAATTCTTTGATTATTCTTATTGCCTCAATTCCATGCCGTGTTGTTGTCCATAAATTCAACAAATAAATGTGAAAGTGAACATTGTTTCTTTTGGTTCAAAAAGCTGTCCCCACATGATTGAGGAGCTAGTTAACATGTGTATAGAGTATATATGCCATCAGTTGAACCACTATGTAATCATACCTCAAAGGTCAAGTTGTGTGAAGGTGGTGCCCATTCTTCCACAAGGCGTCTCTCCAGTGCTTCAACATGGGCACTAGGAGGGATTCGAATGTCAAGACCTATCTCTGCTTCAGATGGTTGAAGATTCATGACAAAACCCTGAAAGAAGTCAAAGATAAAGTGATTAGTAAGAAACATTACGGATCAGAGCATGAGTTGACCTGGTTTAATTGGATGATGAACTACTCCCAATTTATGCAAGGTAGATGAGTAAGACAGGTAAGAATACAATGGATCAAAGAATGGAAAGCACTTATTCATCAGATTCTAGAAAAGCATGATTATCAATAAAAGTGTGTTTCTGAACAACATCAACTTTGTGAACTGGACGATCATTTATCGTTCCAACAAAGGACAGAAGGTACCACAACAATAATCAGAAGTTGGAAAGTACAAAAGGCTATAAGATTCAGGAATCAAGAATAATGCCATTTTAAACTCAGATGTGTATCTGTAAATATAACAGCAAGTCAGAGCCATCTTACATTCTTCCTAATGAAAACAAGCCAAAGTACTTTAAGTACAGCACTCATGCAATGATAAAATGACTGGATACTGCAAGCATAAGGTCCTATTTTTTGAGAAGATGTATAATTCATATTCATTTGTTGGTTGTCGGCCTATAGGTTGAAAGTGAACTCACAGTACACCAAAGACTCTTAAAGACCAAAAGCTAAACAAAACCAGTGCAAAGAACAGATATTATGTAGTGAGTAAGAATTCCTAATCAAAGATATTAGTTGGTCCATCTTAGTAAGTACCAAATAACAACAGATGATTGTTCTGATTTTCAATAATATCATAGGATAATAAGGAACTACACCATCACATTAGTAACTCATACGGGATCAGGTGATCAAGCTACCAATATAATTTAATGAGATCTAGTGAAAGACCAGCTAAATTCTCGAAAGACTAAAACTGCAGCTCAGCACATAAGTAACACAAAAATATTATCAACTAACCGTTGGTGTAGGTGTGCCAGCCTTCAGGTACGCAAAATTCACTGACACAACATCTCCTTCAGCCTTCTCTCCAGATTTCACTAAATCAAACTGTGATGTCCTGAACCTCCTAATAGCCTCCACGCTCTTCATCAAATTCTCCATTGCACTACCATCATACAACTTCGCACCGTGCCCTGGTGCGCCCATTGCTTTTATAGAAAGCCACCAAGGGCTACGCTCTGCATAGAACACACGATACTCCTCCCCTGGAGATGCAAGCCCTTCATCAAGGACTAATGCCACATTCATGTCTTTGAACTCCTTAGATGAAACAAACGGTTCAACACCCCCATGCCCACCAATCTCCTCGTCCGGAACAAATGTTATATAGATAGTTCGATCTGGAACAAATCCTGCAGAATGGAGACGGCGGATGGCTTCAAGGTACTGCATCCCCACACACTTCATGTCCTGCACAAAACACAGGGAAGTCCAAGAATTTAGTAGATGTGGTATACATGTAAATCTAGTGGATTTTTAGAGATTTGGAACTTTTGACCATTTCATGAAAAGCATGATGGAAAGCTAATCCTATATACAAAGCAAAGAGAATAAAAATGATTTTAGCAAACAGGTTAAAATAATATTAGCATTTTAGTAAGGGGAGATGGACACTCCGGGAAGAGATGTACAGGGAACATGTATATACAGCCTAAGAGTGACTTGTTCACGTGAAAAAGATTACCCTAGTGAATTCAGTGTAAAAATCAGTGCAACTTCACACTTACATTGAAATGGAATTTTGCCGGTCAATATACACTTGGTACTAAATAAACTAAACATCTCTAGCATTTAGCATCCTACCATTTGGCACAGCTAAAAAAATGCCATTAACAGTAAAAGCATCTATATGCAATCCTAGCCACAGCCACAAAATAAAACATCATGAGCAAATCCAATTATAAAGATCGCTTTCCTGCTCGAGGTAGATTACACTCCCAAGTGAATATCCATGTCACAGACCTAACTACGAATTAAGGAATCAAGCCAAAGCGTCGACAACGATCAGTACAGTAACTGAAAATTGGACTTTCCGAGACAAGGCGGCGCCAATAATAGCCCTTATGAAGATGCGCAGCATACCACGTGTATACGGCTCAAACTGAACAAGCAACAATCGCGGCTTTAAGCGATCTATTCAGTAAGGAAGTACATCTCACCTGGGAGCCTCGCGCGTAGATGCGACCGGACGCCTCATCGAGGGCGGCGGAAAAGGGCGGGTGGTCCCACTTGTTCGGCTCCGACGGCACGACGTCAGTGTGGGAGTTGAGGAGTATGGAGGGGAGCGACGGCCGCCGCCCGGGCCACCGCAGCAGCAGCAGGGGCTTCCCGGCGACGAGCTCGAGCGTGCGCGCCTCGAGCCCGGCCTCGGAGGCCTGGTTCTGGAGGAAGGCCACGGCCGCGGCGTAGTCGGGCGCCGGCTGCGCCGTGTCGATGCGGAGGTACTCCTGGAACCGGGAGATCGCCTCCGCGTCTGGCGACGGCGACGCCGCCCAGGCGAAGGCGAGGAGGGCGAGGGAGAGGAGCAGCGTGGTCGATGCCGTCGCCATGGAAGCGGGGGAGTTCCGTGTAAGATTCCTGGTTCCCATGGCGATGAGATGGGTCGTGGTGGCTGGGTTAGTGGCGGCGGCTGGGGATGTAGGGCGATGGTGAAGTGACGTGGCCCAATTTCTTTTCTCCTTTGTTTTTGTGGAATTGAGATTCGTGCGTGGTTTTTTTAACTCTACCAAGGCTGTGTTTGTGTTTAGTTGGCAAAATTTTTGACGAAATGGTACCGTAGCATTTTCGTTGTTATTTGGTAATTAGTGTTCAATCATAGTCTAATTAGGCTTAAAAGATTCGTCTCGTAAATTTCGTCTAAACTGTGTAATTAGTTTTATTTTTTATTTATATTTAATACTTCATACATGCGTCCAAAGATTTGATGTGATAGGGAATCTTGAAAAAATTTGCAAAATGAAGTGCAACTAAACAGCACCCAAGATGCTCACCTCAAGATACAATAATATGGAATACTAGTGTGTTCGGTGCTGCAGCAGTCCAGCACTCTGCAACAATGTTGCGCAAGATGTATGGCTGCAATAGCTGCTGCCGTAGAAATCTACAACGAACAGATTTGGCACATACTAACATAGTAACATGTACCTTATATAGCACGTCATATTTACAGTGGCAACTCATAGTTAACATTGCAACAAGGATGTCATCAGATATGTTTTGTGAAATATAATCAAGATGGGGCGTCTAAGTGAAAGAGATAGCTTGAGAATAAACAACATGCATGGATCAATAGATTGCAAGCTTAGCAAGAGGGTAAATAGGTGACCTCGCTAGTAGGGTAGCAAGTTCAAGGGAGAACACAAGGCAATGGGTGTGTTTGGTTCAACTTAAAATCGGGTTCTAGTGAGAATAATCAAGAATCTCACCCAAATGCATGTTTTATGATTATTTCCACTGCATAGGCCAAAACGATCGATGCCCTGTTCGTTTTGCTGAAATTTGGCTTACGTTGATTTATTGTGAAAGAAAAACATTATTCCTTCGCTGAAAAGTAATACTGAAGTAGTGCTGAAGAACAAGGCGAATATTTAAACTACCAACCCATATTGAAAATGCATCAGTAGAGTTGTGAACATGTAAATTCCACACGACTTCGGATGGGAAAAAGATATATACGTGGATGTAGCCTATACTATTGTATCTCAATACAATTGTAAGAAAAAAGAAAGTGTAAGATGTCTCAAAACGCTAGTCGGTAGGAATGGTTTGTGTCAAACAAGTTGCTCTATTGGCCAGCATAACCTAACGGTTAAGAGAAAGTGAGGCACGGGCTGTTAGTTCCAATAGAAGACAAGATAGCTCTATTGACGGTGCAAACTGAACAAGTAGTGAATTTGGTTTTGATTTGGTTCGGTGTTTTAATGTGTGGCCTGAAACAATGATGGACCAAAGGCACGACGTCCCTGGGCGCCTGTCTAGGCTCCGGCACCCACACACGTTGAAGAATATGTTGCTTTTGTGCCCTGCTAGAAGGTTAAAAACACATAATCTCATAGGCGCCTTTAGCTTTGCCAGGGATCCATTCAAGTACCGAGTCCACTAGTGGCCTGAAATGAGACTCACGAAATCATATTATTCTTTTTTACATGGCTAGGTCTAGGTTTTTTTTACTTCACCACATGCAGATTCATACCCACATGGAATTTGATTTTTGATTAGTGTGTTTGGATGGTTTGTTGCATGGTTACAGGGGAGAGAGAGAGAGATGGCATTTGCTCTAGAAGTTGGGAGTAGATAAACAGTGGCAGTTCCAGAGTGGCTGCTGCAGTTGGCTGCCCACAAGTTATCGCTACCGTGTTTTAGAAGAGGAAGGACAACAGTAGCCGTGCAGCAATGCTCAGAATACCAGTCGACCAGTTATTGCTACAGTGTTTTTGTACGAGAATGGAGACTTAAGAAAAATGAAAAAAAAATGTATAGACATCGGACAAGGCTACTAAGTGCGTGCTAGGTCGAGTTATCTAGCTATAAGTATAAACAAATAAAAATACAAGAAAGGATTCTCTAAATTAAAGAAACGTCTAAAAAACAAATACTAGATGTTTAAGTGAAGGACCACGGAGATGTTCTTTATTTTACTTTTCATTCACGTTTTGACTAAAATGTTTGTTTAAATGCTTATCAAAAAGTACTTTGAACTCGTCATATATATATTTGGCTTATTATACAGGTATTCAAATAAAAGATAAATATCTGTAAAGTCAAAATCACCGAGTATCGTGAAATAGAGGTTGGTGGCATAGTATGACTATAGAGTAGAATAGAAGTGGATAGAGCCAGTCAACTATCATTGCATGGCACATGGACGTCAAACCTTAAATATCTTGAAGATATGAACTCGTTTTATAAGAGAGAGAGTGTATATATATATATATATATATATATATATATATATATATATATATATATATATATATATATATATATATATATATATATATATATATATATATATATATATATATATATATATATATATATATATATATATATATATAGACGTACATATATATAGGCGTACGGTTCTATAGCTGACCGCATAATAAGTTATTCTGTAGCCACTTTGAGTTACGATAATTACTATACTAATTTACGAAATTATGATAACTCTCATATGTGATTTACTATAGCATTATGATAAGTATTATCTTGAATTATAGCAACCCATGTATCGTAAATGTGTATTGTCATTATCGTAAATTGGTACAAACATTATCGTAAATCAAGATGGCCATAGAATAAGTTATTCTGTGGTCGGCTATAGAATAGCATTACCGTGTGTGTGTATATATAGTATTACTATATGGTATCTGGGTACTAAATAATTATTAAGTACCCAGTCATCTGATAGCGGATTAAATAGGCCCACACCTACCAAGCACCCGCCATTCAGCTCACAGGCCCGCCCTGTGGACCAGCTCGATTGGTTTAGCAGCTCGGGAGCTCCCCCAACCCAGATGTGGTTTCAATTTCCTCGCCCCCATCCGCTCGGTCTCTTCCCTTCCTACACCGGCACCGCCCGTCCGCCCCCTCTCCGCTCGCCTGCTTTGGACCAACCCCAGCCGGCGCTCCTCCTCAACCCACCTCCGTCGGACCACTTTGTCCCTCCCTCTTTGTACCACCAGATTCTTTGCTTGCCATTGCCATCTATCCGCCGTGCCTCCCGCCACGCCGCCCTTGCTGCATCTGTGCCGCCCGAACACACGTTGATTGCCGAGCTTGCATCATTTTGGATGGAGCCGCCCGGTCCCTCAGGTTTCCTTTACCCTCCTTATTCATGCATCTCGCTTTGATGCCCCATTAAGGTAGTGTCAAATTTGCTTGACTATTTAGATTCCCTGATATGGTTACTGTTTTGTTAAAGAATGATTAATGTGTTTCCATTTCATTTTTTTATTTTCCTTTTATTTTAGTTTTGGTAAGCATTATGCAGATATAATTCTTGAACATCCTGTTGAACTTCATTAATTCATTATGCGATGATCTAATTGGTTTCTTACAACCATACACATCGATTCAGCTTTGCATTGTGTTTTTTTAGATCATACACATATGTTTTTACTTATGGCGTGATTATAGTTTCATAAATCAATTCTATTTATTCTGCATTTGCAGAGGATGCCCATGTCGGAAAAGGCCCTGGTTCGTCAACTAAAATGTTCTTTTTTTTATTTCCCCATTATGCTTTACTTATCTTATTTTAGACATTCACATTGAGTCAAAGCACTTGCAACTACATTGTTATGTGGATTGAGTTTGTAATTTTAAGTTGTAGACTATCACGAGTGCAAGATATTCTAATTAGATTCGACTCAATGTCTTGATTCCAGGTTGGAGCTAGTTGATAAGATGCCCGACAACCCAAAAAGGCTTGTATTTGAGAGCACTCAACAAATGATCAAGATACATGCTTTTTTTTATTTTAGTGGCCTTTTTCATGTGTTGTACCTACTTTTCTCTGTACAATGATGCTAATGTGATCATTGCCCATTTAGGTATGAGGTCCCTTTGCGACAAGACGAGAGGTTACCGTCCTCTCCTGGTATAACCTCTGCATCGGCTCCACCAAATAGAGGTGCAAAGGGGAATGGCTGTACTATAATTTTAATCTGTTGCAGTATGGAGTTAGTATTTTACAAATGACTAGATAAAATTAGATATATTCATTTACAGCTTATCTAATCTTGTTTATAAATTTTTTATTTATATTTATATGATCTGATGTATGTACACATAATTAGAGAATAATTTAATATTCATGGATTTTAAATTTTGCTATCTTAAATTTCCATTATTCTTTTCATTCCACTTCAGCTTGTCCTTTTGTTAATTATTATATGCACTCCAATTCCAAGTTTCATCCAATTTGAATTTACCTCTGCTGCTACTCTATCAACATGATCATGACATGTGTCAATTACTGTGCCAAGTGCATTATTTGTTTGCCTGCTCCCCTGTTATCGAAGAAAATAATATTCATTTATCACCATCGTTATTGTCACAATGCCACCTTGTTGGATGGCCCAAATAAAAATCAATTACCTGTGTACCCTCTCCGTTCCCCCACACATCATGCTGACCCCCCCTCTCCCTATCATCTTGCCTAAATGTTTTCTGTGTTTCACCAACATTACCACAATTTTCGTAAAAAACTTTATAACTTGGAACCATTACCATACACTCTCAATTCACCATTTAAATACCTATCCAGTTGTATTCCTTCCTGTCGCATTTGAATTTGGCCCAATATCATGCGGGACGCCTTTTATTTCGTTGAACATGCTATCCATTACTTCAATTGCTCTTTGGAACGCAGCATTCGACATGGTACCTGCTTGCACAACTTTTGTGCTCTTGGTCAGTAGCAACTTTGTTCTATAGCTTGTTGTGTTGCCATCGGCTCCTGTCAAAAGTTTGTCTTCCCTGCTAAATGCCAATTCATTTCTTGCAAACTTGGTGTATCGCTTAAAAATGTACTTCACAGGTATTTTATCAACTTGAATGTGAATGAAGGTCCGCAACAAATGCACGCAAAATAGGCCTACATGGTACGATTTGAACATCCTTATGACTTAGCAGAGTACACCAGTACGAGATTAAGAGATCAAAAACTAATGTTCAAATATTTATGATACCTGTGTGTTCCCATTCTCTACACTCGCAACTGAAATCACCGTTCTCTTTGTCTGCCCTTACTTTGAATTTGTGTTGCCCCATGTTTTCTTCCCAGTCTTGTTTGTGTGACATACTAGGTAGCAATTTCTTCCTGCTTCAGTATTGTCCACAATCTTATATGCAGTGCAGTCTACTACTTTCTTCTTAAAGTCTTTAAACACATTTCTAGTGTAAATTCTTCCCATTTGTATCTCGAATTCCCATTTGCTCTTCGTCTTGCTCTGCATCACAAAACAACACACCTACATTATATATTTCACTAAAACCAATAATGCATTCTTATATTATGGGTTCAAAATTTGTTTACCGTTCCCTGGTAAGTCTCTGCAGATTCCTTCATCTTCCTTGTATGCACAAAATTCAGCACTTGCTTTGCAAACCGGTGCAATGCTGTTTTCTTTCCCACAAAACATTTCTTCATAATAAAATTAGTGCTTTCGCTGCGCTGTGTAGAAGCCATTCTTCCACAATATTCACCTTTGAAATACGTGGGGATATACCTGCTGCGTTGATCATAAAGGCTCTGAAGTGCACTATTTTTTTCTAGATTAAATTCTATTATTAGTTCCTTCCATGCCTCCTCGAACTCTCCTGGTGTTAGTGGATGGTTTAGCACATAATTAAATTTTTCCTTGAAGTCTTCTGTCTCATACATGCTATACAATTCATTCAGGTTGGCTGATAGCTTGTTGACTACATGCCACCTGCATATTTTGTGAGTTATCCCTGGAAACTCCTTCTTGATTGCTGCTTCCATTGCTGAATCTTGATCTGCAAGTTTTGTTTCACATCCTTTCATTTAAATCATGAAAATTGACAGTATATCACGAAACCACATTACACTTGGTTATTCCAAGCAACTAAATTTATCATATAAATAACCTTATGCAAAATATAAAAAATTGCACACCTGTCAGAATACATCTTGTTCGGTTTTTTCCCATGCATTTTTAAATGCTCTGAAAACCCACTCGAATGTTTCCGTTGTTTCATCTCCGAGTAGTGCACATCCAAAAACAGTGTTATGGAGATGATGGTCAGAGCCAACAAACATAGCCAATGGTTTATCATAAACATTTGTTTTATAGGTTGTATCAAATGACATTGCATCTCCAAAATCTACATATTCCCCTTGCATGCGGGCATGACTCCAAAATATCTTTGTGTATACATCCATTCAAGTCAACCTTTGCCTCCCAAATGAATTGGGGTTTTCGCCTCACGCTTTGAAGAATTCCAGCAGACTTGTTGACGTCATTTGCATGCTCCGCCCTCATATTAGCCGTCTTTCTACAGGTTAGTCGTACATAAGCTCATCACATATCGACAAGAATTGAAAAAATATATTATGTTTTGCCACTCACCGGTTTTCCAAATCTCGATCTGTCATCGCTATATTCTCCTCACCTCCATGCATATCTCTTAATATGTTTCTAATGCTATGGTTAGGAACATCATTTGATTGTAAGTCATCAACATATTCTAGAAGCAAAGGATTCTTGTACTTGTGCGCCCTCATCTGTTTTGTTTATGTAGGTTTTGGGAGCAACACGTGGTTATGGTTCACCGACATCCGTAATCTCTAAAATTCTTCACTATTTTCTTTGTCACATCTAAACTTTAGCTTGATGAATGCCGTGCATGATGTCTTCTTTGTTGTCTTGCCCTTGACGCGCTTTTGCCTCGTTCCTCTTGTAGTATTTACCTATTCCATAATTATTGCACCTTAAGTACCTAGTATAATCTGTTTTGTTAGCCTTCTTTGGTGGAAACTTGCCTTCTCAAAGATATGTACAAGAGAATTTATGTGCTTCATCCTCTGCTTTGAAGCACATACCCACTCTAGGAATCAAAGCTTGGTCCAAGTTTTCTTTACTGTTTAAAAAATAATTCTCATAACCATTTCAGAATTATATGCTTACCATTTACACTCTTCAAACAAATAGCCTGTTTTTTAGATCTACTCAACTCAAATTACCGGGCAAGGCCAATATTACACTTAAATGGTCAGTATTTATGCTCTTCGTGCAGTGTCACAATCATCGATGGGTCAACAGTTGCAGGCGGTGAGAACAAAGTTATGTTACGTCCTTCTTGACTTGAATGAGAATAAAGCTTAAAATGTATGAAGCTGTACAAACCTTGAAATGGAATAACCAAGCACTAACCCTCGGTTTGGCAGCATGCTTGCGGTGTGCGGTTTCCTTTGGTGCTTCTTTCATTTGAACCATTCCCCTGGATTCCTTGATTTTCACCAACCAGTAAACTATCGACAAAGTTGCAGCATGGAGTGTCTGTCGATGTTTTACCACCGACAACCCGTCACGGGGTACCCGGGACGGTGATTTGTTCGGAGGGGTATCGGCGTTTGCAGGAACTCGATGGTAAATGCAGGGAGACAATGATTTATACTGGTTCGACACGCCGGAAAGTCATGGTGCCCTACGTCCAGTGTGGAGTAGATAGTATGTTGCGCCCTGCGCTATTTGTTGTGTTGCGAGGTATGTTGTGGTTGTGAGTTCTATCGGTTATGTGTGTCGCCCATGTGTGTGTTTTAGCTAGGTCTGCCGATCTAGGTACCCCTGCCCTCCTTTATATAGTCCAGGAGAGGCGGGAGTCCTAGTCGGTTACAAAGTAGAGATCCTAATAGGATTACGTGTACTAGTCCTAGTAGGATTACATGAGGAGAATCCTATTTGGACTAAGTCTTCTTCTCTCTTCACCGTGGGGAACCTTATGGGTCCCGCATCGACAAGCCCCCGAGCATTTCATGATTGAGCTTCAAGGGTCGGGTTGTTGTAGACTTGTTCTGGGTTCTTTCTTGAAGCGAGATCTTGAGATGGTCTTCTTTGTCTTTTCTTCGGCTGATGTGCACTTTTGCACAAAAGTGCACTCAGTGAGTGTAGCCCCCGAGCCTCTTGCTTGTTGGGACAAGAAGCCAGAGGGTCCCTTTAGTTTTCTTGGTTGCTCCGAGTTCTTTTTCGGTGGGTGCAATTTTTCGTAAAAATTGCACTCACTGAGTGTAGCCCCCGAGCCTCTTGCTTTTGCTTGCAAAAGTTGGAGGGTCCAGATTCTTGTCTTAAAATTTTTTTGCAAAAGTTGGAGGGTCTAGATTCTTGTCTTCAAAAAATTCTGGGGTTATTTATCCCGCAGCCCCCGAGCCTTCTCCGAGTACTTTTCTTTAGAATAGAAATCGAATGAAGGGTCTTGATGTGTTGTCGTTGTTGTAGTCTTGAGTACTTGTATTCTTGGTCTTTCATCCTTGAATTCAAGCCCCCGGGCGTAGTTGAAGCGAATGCTAAGCCCCCGAGCTTAGTGTTTGACTAAGCCGTGATGCTCTTCCGAGTTGTTTTTTATTCCTCCAGGTCGTTTTCTAGAGTTCTCTGGTTCTTGACGTACCTCTTCCAGGTTGTTTGCACTTCATCCAGGTTCTTTCTGAACTTGTATGTACCTCATCCGGGTTGTTTTCTGATCAATCCAAGTTCTTTTTTGTCTTGATTTCTATTCCCAACTTATCTAGGGTTGTTTTCTTCAATCCGGGTTCTCTCTGATCTTGTCTTGGTCCTTGCCGCACCTTGTAGGGTTCTTTTTTGATCAATCCGGGTTCTTTCGATCTTGTCTTGGTCCTTGCCGCACCTTTGTCGTCGGTTCTTTTTTATCAATCCGGATTCTTTCTCGATCTTGTCTTGGTTCTTGCCGCATCTTGTCGGGGTTCTTTTTGATCAATCCGGTTCTTTCTAAAATTGTCTTGTTACTTGCGGCACCTCTTTAGGGTTGTTTTCTGATTGTTCCGGGTTCTTTCTGAACTTGTATGTTCCTCATCCGGGTTGTTTTTTTGATCAATCCGGGTTCTTTCTGAATTTGTCTTGGTACCTGCAACACCTCTTCGAGGTTGTTTGCGCTTCATCCAGGTTCTTTCTGAACTTGTATGTACCTCATCCGGGTTGTTTTCGATCAATCCGGGTCTTTTCTGGACTAGCTCTCGGGGCGTGTTTTCCCGATCTCATGGTACCGATGTAGCTCCCCAGTATGTTAAACATAAAAATATGTTGTAAATGACATTCCTGATATGAAGTGGGGAGCATGTCCCATATTTGAATAATCAATTAGGGCGTGCCCTGCATTATGAAATGCATATAAACTTTTGGCGTCTTGCTCTTGCTTGGCCATGCAAATTCCTCGGTAGTGTCCTGTTACGTTTAAGCACTTGAATCTCTGGCGTATGGTTCAGAGGTTCATGACGTGACCATGTGAGCTTGGCACTCGGTTCGTGACCGTCCATGTGAGTAGACAAGCTTCACGGATTAAGGCGTGTTCTACCTGAGGAATTCGGCGACCGTTAAGAGAAGACCTAGAGCGCTATGTTTGCTCGCATGATGATTTTTTGTATCTTGAGCACTATGTTTGCTCGCATGATGATTCTTTGTGTCTTCCCTTGCTAGGTCGGTTAATTTCCTAGGTAGTAGCTTGTTACGTTTAAACACTTGAATCTCGCGTATGGTTCAGAGGTCTATTGACGTGACCACCCGTATGGTTCAGAGGTTCTTTGACGTGACCATCCGTATGGTTCAGAGGTTCATTGACGTGACCATCCATTCGAGAAAACAAGCTTCACGAATTAAGGCTTACCATCCGAGGAAATTAACAACTGTTAAGGGAAGATGATATGGCCACAGAGGCATACGAATAATATCTAAAATGTAAAAATTAAAGCGTTACTTTAGCTTGGTTCATGGCGAGTTGTGTAGCCAAGCGCCATGGCCAAATAGTGGATTATCGCAGCCAGTTGTCGTTCACGGTGGCGAATAGTCGTTCCTTGCGTACCGTAGCCGAGTAGTCGGTATTGTATCTCTGTCGAGTAGTTCACGGACCGATCTCTTCCGTGTTGTTGCTGTATGCGTTTTGCATGTATATATGTATATCTGGGTCTCATCAATATTTAATTGGCTTGCATGTACGCCTCTTCCGATTAATTGTGTGGACTTCTTTCTAGCTTGCTTGCGTCATCGGCGTGTCATGGAGTGTAGAACACGAATAATTTGCTTGCTTCCTGCCGATTGGATCCCTATTGTAGTCGGCTTGCTTGCTTGTTGGCTCGGTGTAGCACTCGAACCTGTTCAAATCCTATAGCTTGTACGTCTTCCAAAAATCAAGTCGTATCGCCGCCGCAGACTCCTTGCTTGCTTGTTGGTTTCTAGTTCTATACGGCATCTTTGTCTGATTTGGTGACGAAACAGGCCGGCGATCCGACTTGGGTCCGACTCGAGCCTTCCCATCAGACGGTAAGTGATTGTAGGAAATTAATTTGGTAAGGAGCAGAGTGCAGATCGAGCTGCTCGAAATCCAATCGTGTCATGGTTCACCGAAGAACGTCGTCTTGTGAGTCCGAGTTGCCACGGACGTTGTTGATCGTAAGGGTCGACGAGAGCCGCCGCGACTTGTCGACGAGGGCCGACGAGAGCCGCAGCAAGTATTAAGTCTTGATCACGAGGTCCACCGAGCTCTCAAACGCAAAGCGCCGAGGGCCCCTACCAGGCGCGCCAGCTGTCGATGTTTTACCACCGGCAACCCGCCACGGGAGTACCCGGACGGTGATTTGTTCGGAGGGGTATCGGCGTTTGCAGGAACTCGATGGTAAACGCAGGGAGACAACGATTTATACTGGTTCGGTACGCCGGAAAATCACGGCGCCCTACGTCCAGTCTGGTGTGGATAGTATATTGCGCCCTGCGCTATTTGTTGTGGTTGTGAGGTATGTTGTGGTTGTGAGTTCTGTCGGTTATGTGTGTCGCCCATGTGTGTGTTTTAGCTAGGTCTACCGATCTAGGGACCCCTGCCCTCCTTTATATAGTCCAGGAGAGGCGGGAGTCCTAGTCGGTTACAAAGTAGAGATCCTAGTAGGATTACGTGTACTAGTCCTAGTAGGATTACATGAGGAGAATCCTATTTGGACTAAGTCTTCTTCTCTCTTCACCGTGGGGAACCTTATGGGTCCCGCATCGACAGTGTCAACCTGTTGCATCCCTATATTGCATCTTGTCACCTCTTCAACAGCGACACCCTCTTCGTTCATCTCTGCAACACATCTATTCTTTCCTACTTCATCAAATTGCAGCCTTCTCGTTGCCATCCTTATTCACAGATCAACAAATGTTTAGGGCCCTTCAAGACAATTCTACATATTAATCATCATTACTCAATGTCAAACATTTTGGAAACAAAAACTCTCGAAGCCTACACCTCTCCTTTCCTTGTCTCAATCTCTTATATTTTTCTTTCCTTATGCAATTCATTATTTTTTTGTCTATTGATGCATGCAAATTCATAAATTTCTTTCATAATAATCGGATTGTTTCTCTAAATCTAATTTTCCATCTCTCTTTCCTATGTTGCTTTCTTTGCTCCTACCTCCAGCTTCAATTGGGTTGATTGGGATCAGTTGTCATTTCAGACATGGCACGTGTATGCACAGAGCAGAAACTAATCTCCACAAATTAGTCAACAATCAGTCCCATTGAA